CATCCCCCCCCAACTTAATGCTGTCCGCAGCATTCCTGTGGAAATGCCAAAAGAACATCAATCCTCGTAATTTCTAACCAAGACTTCCGCAATAACGTCCTTCGTCTTCAAGATCCAATCTGTACCAAGTCCACTTCTATCCGTAAATAAGTCCATTGCCGTCCAATATCATATATTCAATCCGTATTCCATTCCATAAGATAACCGCTACAACCTAATCCCAGACGCCCATGAGTTATTTCAAACTATTTCATCTCACCCGCTCCAAGAAGAGGTTGTTGGCCAAAAATCCAGCAAGGATTAATTAAACCACTCAAACACTTCACTCTTTCTCTCTTCACTATCACTATCACTCAAACTCTCAATCCAAAGTATAATTCTTGCTGGTCTTATGAATCTTCAAACATCTTGACGTATAAATATTCCCCGTTAATTTTCCGTTCCACGCCGTCCATGTTGTTGGTTTGTTTCTTCTCCTTCCAAGTCTGTCTGTTTTTCCATCATCCTGTTAAATTTCCAATTCGCCATGTCATTTTGTCCATTCCGTCCAGTGCTTGTACCGTCGTGTTCTTTTCTTCATTATTTATTTACTGACTACTAATTCATATTCCCACATTTTTAATTGCTTAATTTTGATTAATTTTGTTTGAATTTGATTAATTTAGTTTGAATTTGACTAATTTCATTTGAATTTGACTAATTTCACTTGAATTGATTAATTTAGTTTGAATTTGACTAATTTTTGCCCACCCTATTCCCTCAGCTAAACACAAGATCCTGTTTGCCTACCAATTGCTTTCCAATTATTTATTAATTTAATTATTCTGATAATATTTCCATTCAAATTCAACCGTCTGCCATGCCGTACATCTCTTGAATTTCCACGCTGTACTAAATCTGAATGTATACACTTTTTAATACCCTAGACATAGCAGTTTTGATCTCATGCTGAGGAGCTAAAAGAATGAATTGTCATAGCAGTTTTAACTCTTGCTGAGGAGAACACAAGCAGTTTAACCTCTTGCCAAGGAGGGCTACAAGCAGTTCTTGTTGTCCCTGAAATCATGTTCTTCAAATTCTAGATGCTTGATCATGCGCAGTTGCGCGTCGCCCTCGCTCGTTTTGCTTCAGCTCGAATAATTCTATATGGTGCGCTCGGTGCGCTCTCCAAGGCGAAGTCCGATCGGGCTTGATTATATAATTTAAATTCTTGCGCTTAGTGCGCTCACCTCAGCTAAATCCGATCGGTATTGGACCAGAAGCCCGCTGGTCGTCCTGTCCTCTACCATCAATCCAGAAGAAAAACGGTTGCGCTTGTATTCGCTCAATCGATAACAACTGGTAAGCCACATGCAGTCTCTGCTCATTCTTCATCTGCTTTCCCTAGCTAACTAGTCTCTTGCTTTCTTTCTTCTTCCTCTTCTTTTTTTTTTTTTTTTCCTATCTATAGCTGCTGCATTTTGATTGTTTTACCTAAATACGCTTCGATCAGGCTGGCTGTAGTTGCTTATGCGCACCTGGGATCGATCACTTATTTCTGATGTGCTTGTAGTCGCTTCCGACCCGAAAACCAAATCGTACGTTCTTATTTTTTTTTTTTTATGTGATTCTTATCCAACTACTTTCATTTCCACCTGCCACCCTTAGGTCGTACCTCCTATTGTTGATCCGATTGGATCCTGATTGCAGCTCTGTTTCTGTCACTTTTTTTTTTTTTTTTTAGGTTCTTCATCTCGACTTTGCCTCGGATCGTTCTTCACATCGCTAACTCGAATCTCCCCCGCCTCGATTCTTAAGAATGTCAAGGACTCAAGCCCTCTTTTGCGGCCATTCTATTATCACCAGTCACCTGATCCAATACACAGCCATCCCCTACAATCATCATTGCTATCCGCGCTAACGAAAAGTACTCGAACGCTGCCGATGTTTCCGTTTTGTTCTATTGGACTTCGCCTAAAAATGATGCTGCTGTTGCCGCCGTTGATTTTGCCATCGCCGTTCCATTCGCCTATCGCATGCCGATCTCCATAACCATCGATCCAATTCAATCCTCATCGCATCGCTTTGCCTGTCTCCTCACCCCTTCGTCCTCTCGAATTTGACTCGGTTCGTTCTTCACATCGCTAACTCGAATCTTGCCCGATCAATTCCCAAGAATGTCAAGGCTGACTCCTAACAAAAAAAGAAAAAAGACTAGAAAGAAAAAAAACTATCGCGCTACCGCCACTATGGTTATCGATCTTGCCGGACCCACATCTTCGTTACCGTTCCGTTTTTACCGATCTTAACCTCGATTGGATTGAATCCTCCTCGCATCACTTTGTCTATCTCCTTACCCGTTCTTCATCTCGGACAGAGCTTTACCGCAGTAATCAAGGTGCAGAATGCAGTCCTCAAGTCTAATATTTTTAATCCGCTACCGTCAATCGATTGTTACGAGCTCCAAAAAAAAACAACATCCTCTCTTCCACCGACATCACTACTCTCGCCATCTCCTGCTCTTTGCCATCTCATCTCTCTCGCCGTCCCCCTTAACGATCTTGCCTGCTCTACCTGTCCAAACCCTACCGTCATCTGCTCGCCGATTCTGTACCCCTTTAAACCATCCAACTCCATCTGCCCAATCGTCGTAAGAATACCGCCGTTATCGCCACCGTTGCCACTTCCTGAACCTTGTCATCGTTATCTTGACTTGTTTAACCATTGCTCTTATCGTTCGCCGCTTCCTCTCGCCACCCCCTCAGAAGCTTTTAGATCCGACTTGTCTAAAAAAAAAAATGCCGCCGTCGTCGCCACTGTCCTCCTTGCCACTTCCTGAATCCTGTCGCCCTAAAATCTTTTTCATAGTTGCTGCTTCCCATTGCTGTCTTCTGA